GAGAGAGAGAGAGAAAAAGCAAGCTCCTGAAATTGAGCTGAACCATGAAGCACAAGGGGAGTGGAATCGAATGGAGTCACGAAGGAAAATTCTGCAGGCTCAGAAAGCCTGCAGTGCTAAAGCAGAGATTCTCACATGATGGTGAGCATTGCCAAACCTTTTTCTAGACAGGGAGAACTATGACGTTCTGAACATCAACACAAAGCGAGTCAAGGGAGCCATGCCCTGCGGGGTCTGTGAAGGCCTCACGCATTTCCCTGCCTTGAGTGAGTTCTCTGAGTACAGCTTCCTAGTTAAGATGCTGCACTTGACAGTCACATAGCTGGCAATGAAGTCAACTCTTTCTACCTGTGTGCCCTTGGCCATGTTATCCAATCTACTGTGTATCTTTATCTAAATAATGGGGTAGTAAGAGTGTCTATGTGATAGAACTGTTACAGGAATTCAATGAGTTGATAACAGGTACTACATTTATTAACTGACCTATATTATATTTTCAATGAATATCAGCTAATGTTACCTTTTCCAAGAAAATATCGAAATGGCTTTCCCCAGGAAAGAAAATGTTTCCTATTTACGTTTGAAATTGATAGTCATATATATTTTGACCTACATGTACCCATTTAACACAGAAAAGGAGTGATGGATGAAAAGGAAGGCATCCTAGGCTAGAAATTTAAGTCATAAACTGAGAACTGGTTCACATGACATTTTTCCTTCACTGTGATTTAGACTCACTCTTTTTGGTTGTTATTTTATTGGTAGGACTAGGGCTTGAACTATGATACTTGTGATTGACAGGCAGTATAGTCCTTGAGCCACACCATTAGCCCTTTTGCTCTAGTTATTTTTTTCACATTTATGGACGCAATCCTAGTGTTTACCTTTCCTGCATAGCTGGGATGACAGGATGTCACCATTCAAGTTGTTTATTGGTTGAGATGGGGTTTCAACAGCTCTCTCCCCACTCCTGCCCACTGACCTGACCTCAAACTGTGATCCTCCCAATTTCTACCTCTTGAGTAGAGAGGTGTGAGCCATTTCACTCAGCCTATATGTTCTTAAATAAAATTTCTATAATCTACTTCTTACTCTGTAGTTTGTATTATTTTACTAGTTGTCTCTAGACATAAAATCCAACCCATTCAATTCTATTTTCATGGTAAGTTTCAATCTAATTTTTAACCATGTACAAATAAATATTTGAAGGCATAGAAAGACATATATATGAAAGGAGAATAAAAGCCAAGAGACTTTAACAGCTGCCTATGCAAATGTCAGTAATAGCTCATGGGCACCAAGGAGTCTTGAGTAAGATCCAAGTCTGGATTTGACACTCATTCTTTGTGGAATGGAAGTAAATGTTGTGTCATTAAAATCCCTGAAACAATGTTTGGGAGTGAATGTTAAGCACAAACATTTCCACTAGAAATTTTATTAATGGAGACAGAAGTCACAATAAAGGTATTGGAAAGTTGAAACAGTAAGTGAAACTGAGCTGAGCACTAAAATTAGAATGAGAACCTCATCACCAGCTTCTGTGGTAATTTGTGGGGATTTTACAAGTCTGTAGGTTCCCACAATTTTAGACCCATGCCAGTCTTTATGATACCACAAGATCTCATTTCCAGTGGCTTCACTTGATTCCAATTTCTAGCCCAGGAAACAGAGCATGTATTTATTTAATTATCTTGGCACTCCTTAAGGATTAATCACACAAAATCTGAAAGTACCCACTACTAAGTGGAACACAAATTATAGTGGTATTGTTAAAGTGGAAAAATACAAATAAAGCTCTCATTAACTTGTTACTACATAATTTTGCAGAGAGAGAAAGAAAGAAAGGAAGAAAGAAAGGAAGGAAGAGAGAGAGAGAGGAAGGGAAGGAGGGAGGGAGGGAGGAAGGGAGGGAGGGAGGGAAGGAGGGAGGAAGGGAGGGAGGGAGGAAAAAAGAAAGAAAGAAAAAAAAAAGAGAAAGAGAGAGAAAGAAAGAGAGAGAGAAAGAAAGGAGGAAAGAAGGAAGGAAGAAAGGAAGGAAGGAAGGAAGGAAGGAAGGAAGGAAGATAAAAAGCTACCAAAATAACATTAATGATTGACACTAAATGCCAGTGGCTCATGCCTGTAAACCTAACTACTTAGGAGGCTGAAATTGAAAATCCAGGCTTCAAGCCAGTCTGGCTGAAAAGTTCATGAAAATATTATCTCTGAACTAGTAACAAGCTGGAAGTGGAGCTAGCTCAAGAAGTAGAGCTCTAGCCTTCAGTAGAAAAGCCAAGCAAGAGTGTGATACCCTGAGTTCAAGCCCCAGTACTAGCACACACACAAAAGTATTGGGATAACTTCAAAAAAAAAATGTTACCTACTCATGCTTAGAGTCAAATGCTTTCAGTTTCTGCATACTTCAGTGAGTATGGAGCTTGACTACCTACACTTCCTGGCTCTATTGCTGCAAGTTATTGTCTGGCTACTTGTTGCTCCTTACGTCTCCATGTCAGACTCATGAGAAACCACAGCTACTCATCACTATGGACGTTCCAGGGTAACTCCCTCGAGTTACTTTCCAGGATCATTTCTAATACTTAGATAAAATGGGTCACACACAATTGCTCACTATACAAATTGAGCTGGGATTCTTCCTCCATGATTGTTTATTGCTTTAAAAAAAGAAACTAGAAACCACAAAAGGGTTTCTTTTTTGTTGTTGTTGTTTGTTTTTTTACTGGTCAGTACAGCTACAGGATTGATCTCCCAACACCTGGATTCCATCTTTTTGCTCATTCAAGTCTTCAGAGAGGGTTTCTGGTCAACGAAATGGAAGACCTCTATCTCATAGAGAAATGGTTGTATAGCAGGAGACATAGGGAAGACCCAGTTTTCAAGAGATCCTTTGATGTCGTTGGTAAGTTAAAGACCACAGTAAGAGCAAGCCTTTTCCAAGTTTGAAAAGTGAATACATAGGCGAAAGGAAAATACCTTACAAGTGAGATTCCACTGGTTTTCTGGGACATAAAATTACATGTGGCTTAGGACTGACATTGACATGTGGCTTAGGACTGCATCTGTGTAAAAAAAGAATGAGTTTTCTGGCATGAGGGTCTTACGCGTGTGTTTGCTTACACTGTACCACTGAACTACGTGTATCTCTAACCTTTTGGTCTGATTTTTAATTTTTAAACCAATCAGCAAGATTTTACTTTACATAATAAAGAATATTTGGTTAATTTATTTATTTTTATTACAGTGAGGAGATTCAAACCCAGGGCCTTGCACACGCAAGGCAAGTGTTCTATCTGAGCTATATTCTAGCTGTTGGTTTTTTTGTGAAAAGGCTTCACTATAGTTCAGGCTAGTCTAGAACTCAAAATGTAGCTCAGGAGGGTCTCGAACTCTCCATTCTCCTGCTTTTAGGTGCTGGGATTATAGGCAAGTGTCACCACACTTAGCTTTCTAAATCCAAATTTGTTCTCCATCAGATTAACTGAAATGCTTTGACTCCCGTTATATTCACATTTCAGTTTTATTTTATCTTACTTTAACTGTTGATTATGTCTTACTTTTACCATTCCTCCATTTTGGAGAAAGTCAGAGAATAAATCTAGACACAACCAATTGTGTGTGTGTGTGTGTGCACGTGTGTGTGTGTGTGTGTGTGCACGTGCATGCACGTTCATGTACACACCAGCACTGAGGCTTGAACTCAGATTTGGACACTGTCACTTAGCTTTACGTCTCAAGGCAGGCACTCTACCACTTAAGCCACGCCTCCACTTTCAGCTTTTTGCTAGTTAACTGGAGATAAGAATTTTGAACTGATGAGTTCCTTAGAAATAAAGTGTGGTCTTCAATTTATTGTAAATAAAATCAATAAGACCAACGGTAAATAGTAAGACCAATAGTAAAATATAAATGGAGAGATCTGTTGAAAATCAAATACAGTGACTGGGGGAATAGCTCAGGTGGTAGAGCCATCTCTAGTGAGGATGTCAGTCCTGGAAACAAGCAAATACAGTAAATGGTCCATTGTTAAATTGTAGTATTTGAGCATTTACTGTCAGGTCATTTCAGCTTTTTTGTCTGCTTACATATATTCATTCTATAATGGGAAGAAAATTATTTTCATTGCTTTAAATTCATCTCTTTCAAATCTCTAGTGGTTTGGGGTTTAATGAATAAGTCACATCTATTAGCTTTTATGATTTAATAACCATGAATCATCTGTAAATTCAATGTGTCTCAATTTTCAGACTTCCCTATTGGTTCTTTGTGTATCCTTTTTTGTTTTAGATGCTCTGCTCTGTGTGCTGTGCAAATTTTATTAATGGCTGGAACAATTAAAATCCTGATCTCAGCCTCTTGCATGGCTGGGTTTACAAGCATAATCCATGGTACCCAGATTGAAATTTATTTCTCTCTTCCATAAGAGAATCCACAATAATATCTACCTCTGGATCAGCTAAATGCTATGCATTACCTTTCCTAGGAACAGGACAGTTGAAATGCCTACTATAAAAGAAAGACAGATTCATCTCAAAATCCAGAGTGGTTAGGGAGCGTAATGGGCTACAAAGAAATGCTCAGCATCATCCTTCAGATTTGTGGCACTGTCCTGGCCATAAAAAGAAAACTAATACTGATTTCTAAAGTGTCCAGTCAACACATATGATTTTGCATGACAGGCATTCCATGCATAATTGAAATACTTTCTGCTTTGGAAAAAAACAGAAGTGAAAGTTGAGCAGATTTCAATGTTCAGTCAAATGGAACTCATGATAAGTTTTCCGGAGCCAAATACGGAGATACACTCAGTTCCTCCATCTGAAACTGTTTAAGACTCTTTAGAAGTTCAGGAGTGGCAGAAATAGAAATGAACTTGAGATTTAAGAAGATTCATCCCTGATGATCACAGAGTAAGTTGTTCCAAGGTGGCCAGACAAGGACGTGGTCCCAGGTCCAAAGCCTTCTGGGTCACTGATTTGCATATGTAAATTCCTCCATCCTACCTTCCCAAAGCTAACTTCAGTTGAAGGCTCCAAGGAAATTTGCTTCAGATCTTTTGAATTGTTGGGTGGAAGGAAAAATACTTCACTTTCCCCAAACCAAACAGGCTTTCATTGGAGTTGGATTCCATCACAGATGGTAGTCTTTCTGAACGGTTCATTGGCCCCATTGCTCTTCATTTTGGCCAATTTGTGAATCGCTTGGGTCTCTACCACAGAGCAAATGTCTCATAAGGAAAACAGAGAGGCCATTAAAATCACGTAGACACTCTTCAATGTAGTTGTTTCTCTGTGACTTTAAAAAAAAATTAAACAATGGGAAAGCGTGAATATATGAAGTTCTAGGATTAGAAATGTGTTTTTTTTTTTTTTAGTTTCCCATTATTTTCACCTCATTACTAGTTCTTTGTCAAAGATTGTACCAGAAACACATTTCAAAATTGACACTCTGGGTGTCAATGATATAATGATCTATAAGAGAGTCTTACATCATTTGATGGAGTAAGGTTGGTTCCATTTGAACCAACACTAAATTAAATGAAAAGATTGCACAGTATTGCCAACTGGAGAAACCTTTAGAAAAATAAAATTATTAATCTGACAAAATACAAATGTAAGTGATTCTAGGAAATCTGCAATTACTTAAATCATGTATATGCTACACTTACCAAAGGGTTGTCAGGATTTGTGTTACTTGAGCTGGGTGTGGTGATTTACTCTTGTAATCTCAGTTCTAGAGAGGCTGAGACAGAAAGATAACTCGTTCAAGGCCAGCCTGAGCTACAGAATAAGATCTTGTCTTAAAAAATAATATTTATGTTACCTCAAATTCTATAGACTATCATCTAAGAAGGTATTTCTTTCTTTTCATTTTCAGATTTTATTTACTTTTTGTCCTTGAAAAGTAATTTTTTTTTTTTTTTGTTCATGGGGTTTGAACTCTGGGCCTTGGCGCTGTCTCTGAGCTCTTCAGCTCAAGACTAACACTTGAGCCACTGCGCCACTTCCAGTTTTCTGAGTGGTTTATTGGAGATAAGAGTCTCACAGACTTTCCTACCTGGGCTGGCTTTGAACTATGATCCTCAGATTTCAGCCTCCTGAGTAGCTAGGATTACAAATGTAAGTCACCAGCGCCTAGCTGGAAAGTAAAATTTTATTGTTACCATAATTGCTAAGGAAAACTGTTCTTGGAGTCAGTTCATGAATCAGATGGTTTTCAGAATTATTTTTAATTCAAAGAAGCCCATAGGTCAAATCTTAACTACCAGGAAGGTAACAGAAGGAAGATTACAATTCAACTCCAGCCTGGACAAAATGTTAGTAAGAACCCCATCTCAACCAATAAGTTGGGCATGATGAGTCATGTTTATGGTCCCAGCAATGTGAGAGGTATAGACAGCAGGCTTTTGGTCTGAGGCCAGCCCTCTACAAGTTGTGCTTGCCTAGCAAGCATAACACCCTGAATTCAAACCCTAGTACCACCAAAAGTCAAGAAAGAAATATTCAAATGCCTCTTGTGGTCACAAAGCGTCTCGTTTACTTTTCCCTGGCTGTTACAATAGGTAGTTTGCACTTCATGTCTTCCAACATCACCTGCTGCTGTTTTCAGGACCTGCCAGCACACTGGGTTTCCATAGCAGACAGTAAAGACTCTGTCATGCTAGCAACCGAAGGCCCTCCTCTCTAGGGCTGACCCTGGATGGAGGGAAATGACAGCAGGGTGTACTCTTCCTCTTTGCCCCTCTGGGAGGGGCTAGAACCAGGCAGAACTTCCAGGAATGCTTATAGTTCCAGTGTAGAGGGACAATCTATGCAAGAACAATGACAGATCAACCAGATCCCCTCAAAACTGAGTGCCGCTCCCCTCCCCTTTGCCCCCAACACAGTTAACCCAACTCTGACTCAACTATATGTGGGCGGAGAGCGGTCACTAACTTTCTCTAAAAATGTGATCCTAAGCATCAGGACTGTCTCTGCAATCATGCTAATGGCCTGCCTGAGGTCAGCTGCCCATCGGCTTCAGCGACCCCACCATCAACACACAGGGAGCTGCACAGAGCAGATCAGCCACCCACTTACCCTGGGCCTATTTGAAGAGTATAAAACAAGTTATAGCCCTCTCTTTAAGGATAAGTCCATAGATTGTGCATAACATAAGAGACTGGTCACCAAGCAGCTAGCTGAAGTGGGTCTTTCTCTAAGATGACAGCATAAATGGATGAAAAAAGGTCTGTGGCCGATCAGCACCCCTCCACTGCACTGGAATAGGGGGATCCTAGCTCCTCCTGCCAAGGAGAATAGAAAAGCCATGCACTATGAATCTACTTGTACTGTGGTAAGCACTCTCCTCTGTGATTCATGGGCTTGTAAGTTTAAATATGTCTCTGAGTTCTAGAGTGAGAGAGAGAGAGAGTGAGCGAGAGAGAGAGAGAGAGAGTGTGTGTGTGTGTGTGTGTGTGTGTGTGTGTGTGATGGTATCTCAGTTCTTCCATCTATAAAACTAGGGTAGGCCAGGCACCCATGGCTCATACGTATAATTCTAGCTACTCAGGAGGCTGAGACCTGAGAATCATGGTTTGAAGATAGCCTAGGCAGGAAAGTCTGTGAGACTCTTATCGCCAATTAACTACCCAAAAGCCAGAAATGGAGCTGTGGTTCAAGTAGTAGAGCACTAGCCTTGAGAATAAGAGCTCAAGGACAGTGCCCAGGACCTGAGTTCAAGCCCCAAGACTGACAAAATAATAATAATAATAATAATAATAGGATAATAAATACAAATGCTTTACCCACTTTCAAGGAGGTGACATATGATAAATCCTTCGTAAGTTGAAAATATTGTTAGTTGGTAGTTTAGTCAACACACTTGTGGTTGTTATTGTTTTATGCCAGTACTAGGGCTTGAACTCAGGGTCTTGTGCTCTTGCTTAGCTCTTTTCGCTCAAGGTTGGTGTGCTACTATTTAAGCCATACCTCTACTTCTGGCTTTTTGCTAGCTAATTGGAAATAAGAATCCTTCAGATTTGTCTGCTTCGATCTTCATGCTGAGTAGTTAGGATGATAATCACTGTCAACCCGTTCAACCTAGTGAGCATCTTAACACCTGGTGCTCTGTAGACTCTGCTAAGGTTTGACCAGGAGCTGTGCACATTCACCTGCTTCCCTGAACCTCAAGAAGCTTTCCCTACAGCATGCTGTTAGCTAGGGGATGGAAAGCCTGTTGCTTTCACAGCTGTGAGAAGCTGGAAATTAAACTGAGTCACTGAAAACAGGTATCTTGAGAGTTCTGGGAAGGTTGCTGCACTGGTGTGTATCACGTAGCATAGTAAAAGATTGATGAATGCATTTTGTAATCATTATTATTATTATTACTTAGTGTTAGCATTATCCTATAGTAGTAGAATTCTTGAGTACTCTTTCCTGGCTAGGCATTGTGGCCCAAATAAACTTATTACAGTGTCCTCAGATTCAGAAGGAAGGCATTAAACCAAACATTCTGTAGTTCCTATCTAAGATCTGAACATTCTTGACTCTATGACTATAGTATCTTCTTGGGGGAAAAAAGTATCCTTTTTTATTACTTTGCTAGCTGTATTTTAAAAAGTCAAGGCTGATCAAAATCTGTGAGCTCTCAAAAATTCAGTGGTTGGATAACTTCAAAGGATATCCAGTTAAACATTCCATTTTACTGGCTCTGTGTGTGTGTGTGTGTGTGTGTGTGTGTGTGTGTGTGTGTGTGTCTGGGGATCAAATCCAGGACCTTGAGCATACCAGGCAAGTACTCTCATCACTGAGATATACCCACAGCCCTGTAGTTATAGGGTTATAAATTTATTATCATTATCAGAGAATAGTCCTCCGTTTAGATTCAATTAGACCTTGCCTTTTATTGTGGGAGGATCTATTATTCTGGAAACACAATTTCTCTGGAAAGTTCTTTTCCACTATTAACTTGTGGAAAAAGTGAAATCATACCAGAAACAAACTCTCTAAAGAATGGCCCAGCAGGGCAGCCACCCCTCCCCCTCCCCCATCCCTCCTCCCTCCCCCCCTGCAGTCAGACAGGGAAGTCACTGGATGACTGGACACTGGGCCAGGGACCCTGGCTGAGGCTCACAGATAGACCTCACACAAATAGCTCAAAGAGGAACCATCACACTTGGAACTATTATTTTTTTCTCAAAGAACACACACTGTAGATTTTCTTGTACATTTTTAAGGGGGGGAGGTGGTGAAGAGGGGGAAAATCCTCTGATGCCAGATGAGCCATTCTTCCCCAGGAGGTATCCAAAGCTGATTCCATCAAAGATCTTCGGCTAATGAGCTGCTCAAAACAATTATGTTGCTAGCTCATGCCTGTAATCCTACCTACTTAGCATGAGGCTGAGATCTGAGGATCACAGTTCAAAGCCAGCCTGTGCTCTTATTTCCAGCCAGCAAAAAGATGGAAATGAAGCAGTGGCTCAAGGGGTAGAGCTCGAGTCTTGAGCAGAAAAAGCTAAAGGGCAGCACTTGGAGTTCAAGATCTCCAGTACTTCTTGAACACACAAATAAACAAGCAAACAAACAATGGCATGGAGGAAACTGAAGAAGAACCAGTTACTCCTCAACCATTTTTATTCCAGTCTCCACCAATAGCAAGGGGTGATGAGAGAGAGCAGTGTCCCTTGAGGACAGTGGACGAAGTTGCAAACACATCATACAACTCCACTCCCTATAGGACAACCCATCCATCACTCAAGAAGCTGCACCTTTCCAAGTGTCCTAAGTTTATCACAAGCAAAACACTGCCTTGTATGACCTGAAATGGGAACTGCTACTCTCTGCTCTCTCTGCATGTCCAAGTGGTCCTGCGGAGGAAGCTGCCTGCTCATCTCCCACGAGTCTCTGGGGCAGAGGGTCCATCAGCCATCCTGCACTCTGCCCCTCTCTTTCCACTTTTCTGTACAGCATTCTGTCTGGTAACCATCACAGAAGGACAAAAGTCTCTGAAACTACAACTTGGTTCTAGCACTTGGCAAGCAAGCTATTTAGGGCTGTAAACTTGGGAAAGAATGATCCTCTCACACCTTTGCCCTACCCTTGCCCAGGCTGATAAGCAGCTCAGGCAATATTTTTATAATTCATGTCACAAACAAAGAAGAAAAGACCTTAAGCATCATGAAAACACCAAAAGAAGGCAGGACAGGGTCAACTGAACATTTCAGCTTTAACGCAACAGAGGAGAACCAGCTTGCTGAAGCAAAGAACTACATACAACATGCCACTTTTACTGAGTCAGAAAGCATGCATGAATACTCTTCAGAATGGACTAAGGGTGGTCGGGTCAGATGGACAATAACTTCACAAGTGATTTTTTTTTTAAAGGAACTAGATCTTCAGGTTTCCATGGTAACACTGATCAACATCAAATCTGGTCATCAGCTCTCCTCCAGGGGCTCACTACTTGATCACCTGAATCTTGGTGCTGAACCTAAACTTTAAGAATCATACAGGTCCTAGACACATAGAAACAAACTTCTTTTGTGGACAGGAATCAAGCCATCTACCCTAATGGGAGAAGGCAATGAAAAAGGCGATTAATGAGTACAAATAAAACCTCTCTTTTTAGAGTGTCAGGAGGCAAGCAACTTCAGAATTTTAAAAGTTAGGGGTGGCTTGCCACCACACACACACACACACACACACACACACACACACACACACACACACAGAGCAGTCTCCAGTTACTTACTGGGGTGGTTTTGTCGCCCGAACCCTCACACCAGCACCCAGCCTGTCTAGCTGCCAAGAGCTGGAGCATGCCGCCAACAGCCGTTTCCTTCAAGCTGGGGCTCGGTGTCTTAACCAGTCACATGTGCCGCTGATAAATACCACACTGTGCCAGGAGGTCAGGAACTGAAGATCCTTATTTGCCTCCTTCAAACCTCCTCACAACCCTGGGGTTGGCTCAGCCCATCTCATTAGCATGCAGAGCGGGACATTCCACAATTTGTTTTCTCTTAGTGACAGACGCCTGCCCAACAGCTGATAAGTCACTGGGGAGAGCGGGTCACTGCTGGTGGGGAGGTAATGCTGCGGGTGGGGGGTGGGAGAGGGAGGAGGGGAGGGGAAGGAGGGAGGAAAGCAGTCTCTTTCCAGTCCTGTCTCACTCAAATTGTCACTAGGGCTCTTCAACAGCAAGGAAAAGGAGCCAGAGATTCATGCAGCAAGCAGGTCCAAGCTGCTGAGTTTTGTTTTCTTAGATTTCAGGCTGCTGTTTGCCAGGACAGCCTCCTCACTAACTACTGGGGTCGTCCTGGGGAAGACAGACTTGCATCAACTCTCTGTGACTGCTCTGGTTTGATTTCAAAAGCCAGTGCTTCAAGAGCCAGAAATGCCAAAGGGCAGATATTCGAGGAATCAGGTCAAATGTCGTTTTATCTAGAGACAATGGAAAAGATTTCAGGAAGCCTAAGACCATATTCCACCCCAACGGATGCTTGGCATCAACATTTTGGGATACGGTGAGCAGTAGAGGTGATTAGTGAAGGCTAGTGGGAAAGATGAGCACTATTAACATAGAACTTGGCAAATGGATTCCTACTTTCTTAGGTGTGCTGGGAAGTTGGGCCAAGTTGCCATTTGCGGGGGAGAGGGCACTGCTCACCAAGGTAGCAAGCCATCCTGGATGTTGGGTGGGGTTCATACTACTCTTTTGAACTGATCTTCCCACCCATGGGTGACATCCTCTACTTAAAGAAAATCCCTTAGGGTAGTGGGGCTGTGGTTCAAGTGGTAGAGCACTAGAGTGAAAAAGCAAAAGAGGGTACCACCCAGATCCTGAGTTCAAGCCTTAAGACCAGAGTGCACACACTCACATACACACACACACACACACACACACACACACACGCATGCATGCACACAATCCCTTGGAGTATGAAACCTTGGATGGTCTGACTGTGAGTACCTGACTTCACTGTGTGCTATGGTAAGTGTCACATTTCTCATAGTCAGAGCCTAAGCTTGCCCTTCAGGGTGGAGTGGATTGACAGATTTGGTCAACTGAAGATCCAAAAATGATAGTAAAAGTCCCCTAGGGGATTTCTGAACCATAATTAACCTAGTAGGTTGTCAACTGTGATTTTTAATAAGTCAAATCATACTCAATAGGGAGTGTGTGGGAGCACACCTCTCTTCCTAGGCTTTGTCTCATAATTATACGCATGGTAATTAAACCTGAAATGTCCTTCCACAAAGGATAGTGTTTGGTAGAATAACAGAAAAACAAGTAAACCTAAAACCTAGCCTCACCATACTTTCTGTGGTCTAATTTGTTACTAACTTGTGAGAGCTCAAAGTATAAGTGAGAAAATTGAGTTTCAAGTTAATAACAAATACATTTCAGATACCGAAATCCAATGCCTTAAAATACATGTTATCCTCATAGTCATTTTCCCTCATAGGTTGATGTGATGATCTTCCATCAGAAACAAAAAAGGAGGCATCCTGATGGCTTGAAATGTTGGTTTGATTTATTGATGCTATGCATTTATGGTAAGGGAAACTTCTGTGACCAGATGACCTAATTACTATTCACTGTATTTACAACTGACTGTGTTAATTATCCTGACAGGCCCTTACTTGTCACGTAGTTTCTGGGGAAAGAGAGACTTCTGGAAACTCTGAAATCTAACCCAGGAAACAGTATAGAAATTCTTTTCAAATTCTCTTGGCAGGAGATGGGGGGGGAGGGGTAGGAGCTGAAGAAACAAACCCAAAGCGTGGCCCCTTCTTGTATTGTGTGGTTACCAGAATGTGACTGAAGATCCTACCATGTCACTTTATTTCAGCCTTGCCAAGAGAAGAGAGCCAGCCTTTCTGGCCTCTAGATCCTCACCATTTCCTTCAGCTGGAGATGTGGTACTCTCCTCTTGGCCACCCTCCCACTGCGATTGTATCCTACCCTCTGCCCACTCCTGTGGTCCTGCGCAGTCTCCATGACAACCATACCTTCTCTTCCTCATCAACACATGCTTGCGCATCTACATCCTGACAGCCATCTCTTTATCCTTTGCTCCTTCACTATCCTAACTCCCTTCACAACCCAAGTTTCTGGAGAAATACTTTTCTCCTCATTTTCCCTTCTTTTTAAGTAGCAACAAGTCACATCCTGGCTTCTTCCCCATCTTCAATGAAAATGCTTTCCCTAAGACATCAAAAGCCACGGGCAATGGGCACTATTTTGCTTTTACCTTATGTGACTTTTTAAAGTTTTGACCCAGCTAAACAAATGGTGCTTAGAAAGTTCTATTATGGTTTTTTAGCTTGAATATGAAAACTCTCTTTCCCTTTCTGCCTTCTACATCTCTCCCCCCCCCCCGCCCGCCCTAACACACACACACACATATTCTAACTGATTACTGAATGACTATTGTGGTTTCTTAGTGACTCATCTCCAAAATCCCTGTCTCTGACTTCAATTTATCTTTTACATTTAAGACTGGCATCCCGGGTAACTTTGGTTTCCCATAACCTGTAAAGCCTTGACTAAAACTCTTTGCTGTGGCTCCCTTTCATTCATTGCACCGCTACTGCATCTCTCACTCTGTTTTTTCATGTGTCTCTGGTCCATCAAACCCGGGTCAACTGTTCGGAAGCCTTAAAACTTGGTCACATATAGCTCGTGATTCCCAATACAATATGGGACATGAGAGACACATGGTTGAAACCAAGCTTAATGAATAACTGAGTGACTCAATAGAATGGCTTTCTGTCATTCTGTTAGCAAACCTTGAGGTAATATTAGGCTACAAAAATCTTAACTATTTCTTATCCCCCGCAAAAGCAATTATTCTTGCAATGTACTGTGACCACACTGTAATAAAACTAGTTACAAAAAGTAAGTTAAAAAAAGCTAACCACTCAAGAACAATTTTACATTTTAAAAAATGAAAATAAAAAAAATATATATTATTGATTGGGGAAGAAATCAAAATGGTAATTACAGAACGCTAAGAAGTTTTCCAGAATGATATTTCCATATTATCAAATATAGTGGCCCAAGCCAAAATAGTTATTAGAGGCAAATTAACTTAAGGGGAGTTAAAAAATAGTACAATAGACATGAAGAAATTTTAAAGTTATTAAGAAATTTATTTCCAAGAACAATTTTAGTCCAGATTACTTGCATAGTCAAATTCTCTCTGAGCTTTAAGCCACAGAGAATCTTTAGGCTGTATAACTTTCTCAAATCAAAAGTATCTGAAATTTATTTATTAAATTGAAAAAAAACCAATATAGCATAAGGGAAAATTAAAGACTAACTTCATATATGAACTGTTGACCCTAAAGATGTAAATACTTCAATATTACAAAATACATGAGCTAAAATGAGTCTCCCATGTGCTGGATTAAGAAATAAGCTTCTCATTTTTGTTAATTTGATGTTACTGGGGATGGAACTCAAGCTTTCTAAACCAGGTCTTTACCACTTGAGCCAAATATCTTAGTCCTCTTTGCTTAACTTGCTTGTTTAGTTTGGATCTCCAAATTTTACCTCAGCAGGCCTTGAGATTACATCTTCTTATCTCTGCTTCCCAAGTAACTGGATTACAGGCATGTGCTACCCTACTCGGTTTTAACCTCAATTAAAATAATAATAATAATATAGAGATAGAAGAGTTTTTCTTATCATGGTAATCTCTCTTAAAACAAACATGAACATCAGACTCCATAATAAAATACTTAGTGACATACCAAAATCAGAAAAAAGAAAATATCACGATCATTACTATCATTTGGCTCTGCTCTCCATGTGGATCCATTGTAAGCAAGCAAAAGAAAGAAACTGAAGAACTATTGATAAATCCGCAGACAAAATTATTCCTTTAGCAAATGATAAAAACACTAAGTTAATACTTACTCAAATTTTAAAAGTTTTAAGTGGCAAATTGAGTGAATCTAACGGTTATGAAATAAAAGCATAAAATTAGCAAAAACTTTTTATACAGCAGTATAAAATAGCAACAACAAAATTTCTAGGAATAGAAACAGACAAAACTACCTACACAAACATTTTTACAATGCAATACAATAAAGATATGTAATTTTTCTACACTGAAACTCAATGTTTTAATTTATATATGTAACCAAATTGCATAAGCAAAATCAAATTTTTATTTAAAAGTATAGAACACTGAAAAGGCTTAAAAATTGTAGAGGAAAACGGCATTAAATGTAACTGTGAACTTAAATTAACTTGCAGGATGATTTTCATTACTTTGAAATTATGTTGGGTCATAGTACAGCTTTGTATTGTGAAAATATTTTAATCATGATTACAAAAAGTAGACGCCATAAAGAAAACAAATGTAGTACTTCTGAATATAAAACGTGACATGACTATACTCACTTTTAAATGTGTGCTTTTAAATTAAGAAGAAAGAAAGTGGACCTACAAAGATGCTTAAGCTCCTTAGCCATCCACACAAAGAAGAAAAAACCACCAATAAGAAAAGGTGAAGCCAGGCTGGGGAGCTCAAACAGCTTCATCACGCATAAACAAGCAGACATATCTACACCTGACTCCCCTCACTGTCTAGTCCTGGACCCAGTATTTGATACCCATTTACTGGAAATAGTGAAACTACCAGACCAAGGATGCAGGAAGATGCCTGTGCACCAGGCATTGTGTTCCTCGGAGACATTTCTGTGACTGAAGCATTCCCTTTGGTGGAAATTCAAAACGGTACCCATCCCCTACAGTGTCAAACAACATCATTTTCCTTTGTAACCTACACTTGCCCCTGAAGCTGCAGAACTCTAAGCCTTGTATGAAACCCTGTATTAGCTACTAGACTCCCAAGGTGGTGACATAC